CCTTTCTCTCCCCCCCCCCAGCCATTGCTGGGGCTTCTAATTCTTCTGCTCTCTTGATTCGGGCTGATGTTCCCTTTGTTCCTTTACTTTTTCCTTCGCCTCTCCATTGTTCTGCTGCTCGTATCTTTGTGGGGAAATGGTACACAGTTTGTTCCATTTATCTCCCCCCGAGTGTCCCGCTCTCTCTTCCTGATTTGAAACACCTCCTAGACTCCTTCCCGGAGCCTGTGCTCCTGCTGGGTGACTTCAATTGTCGTCATTCTCTTTGGGGTGACGTTCTGACGAATACCCGGGGTCGCCTCCTTGAGCCGTTTCTCCTCTCTTCTTCCCTGTCTCTTCTGAATTCTGGTGAGCCCACTCATTTGGACTCTCGGACTCGCACCCTTTCTTGTCTTGATCTTTCTCTCTGCTCTTCTTCTCTTTACTTAGATTTCACGTGGCAGGTTCTTGATGACCTCCATGGAAGTGATCATTTCCCCATCCTTGTTTCCTTTTTCGCCCTTCCCTCTCTTTCCCTAGGTGGCAGTTTGCTAAGGCAGACTGGACCCTATTTACCCTCAGTGCTGCTCTCTCTGACCTCTCCCTTCTGCCTCTCTCTCGCGCTCTCCTCCTTTTTCACGACACTGTCTTCAACGCTGCCCTCCGCTCTATTCCTCGCTCTTCCTCTCGGGGTCCATGGAAGTGCGTTCCCTGGTGGAATGCGGACTGTGCTCGGGCTGTCCGCTGTAAGCGTGCAGCCTGGAAGAGGCACCGCCGTAGGCAGACGACTGATTCTTTTCTTTTCTTTCGGAAAGCGAGTGCGGTGGCCCGTAGGACCATCCGTACGGCTAAACGTGAATGTTGGGCATCTTATGTCTCAACAATTACGTCCGAGACCCCTCTGGCCCAGATCTGGAAGCGTATCCGCAAGATAGCGGGTAAGTTCGTTCCCGATGTTTCACCGGTCCTTCACCTCCATGATACTCTTGTGGCGGACCCGTTGCAGGTCGCTTCCGAACTGGGTTCCCACTTTTCTTCTGTTAGCTCTGGTCTTCATCTTCCCCAATCTTTCCTTCTTCGTAAACCTGTCCTTGAGTCTCGTCCTTTAGATTTCTGCACTCATCTTCAGCTTCCCTATAATGATCCCTTCTCTCTCTCTGAACTTCGTTCTGCCCTGGCCCTCTGCGGTTCTACGGCGGCGGGCTCCGATGGTATTCATTATGAGATGCTTCGCCATCTCCCTCCGAGCACGTCTCAGTATTTACTGAGTCTGTATAATCGGATCTGGGAGTCGTCGTCAGTCCCTGAGGACTGGCTCGAAGCCGTTGTCCTCCCTGTTCGCAAACTGGGGTCTCTGGGTACTTCCCCTAAGGACTTTCGCCCTATTGCTCTCACAAGTTGTGTCTGCAAACTCTTTGAACGTATGGTTAACGTTCGTCTGATGTGGTTCCTGGAACACCATCACCTCCTCTCCCCTTCTCAATTTGGTTTCCGCAAGTGCCGCAGCACGACAGATGTCCTGGTGAACTTGGAGGTCTATATTCGTACTGCTTTTGCTGCGAAGACCTCCGTTGTTGCCGTCTTTTTTGACCTAGAAAAGGCTTACGACACCACTTGGCGTTATCATATCCTATCTCAACTTCATTCTTTTGGCCTTCGTGGTCATCTCCCTCTCTTTCTCCGCAGCTTCCTCTCTCGTCGTTCCTTTCGGGTGCGCCTTGGTACCGCTCTCTCTGCCTCTTTTCAGCAATACGAAGGTGTGCCCCAGGGTTGTGTTCTGAGCACTACTCTCTTTCTGGTTGCCCTCAATGGTCTTCTTTCCTCTCTTCCTTCTGGTGTCTTCTCCGCTCTCTATGTCGATGATCTTACCCTTTGTTGTCAGGGTGATGATTCGCCTCTCCTTCAACGCCGGCTTCAACTTGCGATTGATGCCGTGTCGTCTTGGGCCACAGGTCATGGCTTCAAGTTCTCTACTTCTAAGAATTGTGCCATGACTTTTACGCGGAAACGGGTTGTTCTTCGTCCCTCTTTGTCACTTTATGGTCATCCCCTTGAATACAAAGATTCCGCGAAGCTTTTGGGGTTATTCCTTGACACTCGTTTGTCTTGGTCTCCCCATATCTCTTACCTCCGTGTTGAGTGCTCTAAGGCCCTTACCCTCCTTCGGGTCTTGTCCCATACTTCTTGGGGGGCAGATAGGCGCACTCTCCTTGCTTTACATTCCTCTCTCGTCCTGTCTAAGCTCGATTATGGTTGCCCTGCTTACTCGTCTGCTTCTCCTTCTACTCTTCGCCGTCTTGATGCTTTGCACCATACTGGGTTGCGCCTCAGTTCTGGTGCCTTTCGTTCGACTCCCATCCTTAGCTTGTATGTTGACACTGGCTTCCTGTCTCTCCAGCACCGCCGTGATCGCTACTGTCTTCGCTATCTTGCGCGGTCCTTGCAACATCCTTCCTCTCGCCTCTGTCGTGCTTTAACTTTTACCCCTCCTGCGGTTCCTGTTCCTCTTCACCACCTCCCTCTTTCTGTCCGGTTATCTCGCCTACAGGATTCTCTCTCCGTTCGTATTTCTGATGTTTCTCCTCGTGTTGTTCCTTCTTTGCCCCCGAGGAGGGTCCCTCTTCCGCGGTTTTGTACTTCCTTGACCCGTGTCACTAAAGCTTTTACCCCTCCTACGGTTCTAAAACGCCTTTTCCTCGAGCACTTTTCTTCTCACTCCCGCTCCGTTTCTGTCTTCACCGATGGGTCTAAGTCAGCGGTGTTGGCTACTCTGTTGTTTTTCCTGATCGCACTTATATGTGTGGCTTGCCTCCGGAGACTAGCATCTTTACAGCGGAACTTTATGCTATTCTCTATGCTCTTTGTCTCCTGCTTTCTCGTTGTCAGTCTTCCTTTGTGGTTGTTGTTGACTCTCGTAGTGCCCTCATGGCTCTCGGGTCCTTTAATCCGGTTCATCCAGTAGTTGTCGAGATCCAGCATTGGCTATTTCTCGTTCACAGTAAATTTAAGTCGGTTGAGTTTTGTTGGGTTCCCAGCCATATTGGTGTGTCTTTAAATGAGCGTGCGGATGCTGCCGCTAAGGAAGCTGTCCGCTCTTGTCCCATCTCTCGTAAAGGCATTCCGTATTCCGACTTTTACCCGGTTATCCATTCCTCAGTCCTTACCCGTTGGCAGGCTTCTTGGTTGTCTGTTACTGGTAACAAGCTACGTACTCTTAAATGTTGTGTTTCCTCGTGGCCGTCCTCCTTCCACCGTAACCGGCGGTGGGAAACAGCTCTGGCGAGGTTGCGTATTGGCCATACTCGCTTAACCCATGGTCACTTGATGGAGCGCCGCCCTGCTCCTTATTGTCCTAGTTGCATTGTCCCTCTTACAGTCGTGCATGTCCTTCTTGAATGTCCTGACTTCCAGGACGAGCGTGTGTCTTGCTTTCCGACCGCCCCTCGCGGTCACCTGTCCCTCGATAGAATTCTTGGTGACTCGGATACTTTTGATATCGTTCGCCTTATGCGTTTTTGTTCTCGTATTGGCATCCTTGGTGATATTTAGCGCCCCCTGATTATTTTGCGTATTTGATGGTGCTACATAGCCTTCCCGGTTTGGTGCCTTCTTTTGATAATTACTTACTTACTTACGTTTCCTAGTTCTCAGGTTGCTAACATTTTCTATGTTGCAGTCTGTTTGGTGTGCTCTACCTTTCTGGTACTTTATCCTTTTGGTTTGGGTGACCTAGTACCACCACCTCCTCCCTGTGCCTCTTTCAGTGGATTAGGTTTTGGTCTGGTAGGTTTTTTTGTCTCACAAGGGCCTGGTGTGACATGGTATGCATAGAGCTATCCAGGTGGCTAGCTCCAGAGAGCCACTAAAAAGCCCTCCCAGTAAAACCTAACTGAAAATACTTCAAAACTTCACAGGGCAATATTTGCAGCAACATTAGGTTGCTGCAAGTCGACTTGATAATGGTTACAATCAACTTGATAATAGTCCAGGATGGATTGAAATGTCGTCATCTCCATCTTCTGGTGTGTGGTTTAGTCTTCATATCTTCAGCCACATTATTGTGACTCATCATCTGCATTTATTTGTTTTCAAGATAATGTTCAAGGCTTCTTCCCTCCTCCTTCTCTGTCATGTTAACTAAAATCTTCCATGTCAGGGCTACAGCACCATACACTAGTCTTGAAGGTTTCAGGTCAATGTGTCAAGATGTTCTCACTAGATATCACACAGATTGATAAATTGGGGACAAAACTTTAGTGAAACTATAAGGTACACCTTTATGGGATACCTAAATGTATTATGCTGTGTACGTACCGTATACATAAGCTCACACTAAAGCATTCAGATTTGGATGCACAAACAAATGTATGTATATGTATACACATACTTATACATGAGTATCTGGATACAGACATATCTATTTAATGTATATACAGTATATATATACATGCACAAACTAATACATGCATTTGCAAACACACTGTTGCATGCCTATGTATACATGTGCCCATGCATACAGTGGCATAGCAGAAAATAGAAAACACATCTTTGTTACACAATAAGACTAAAAAATAGTTTAAGCTTAGAGTGTAGCTTACACTTAGTTGATTAGTTACACTCAAGTTGATTGTTAAGCTTAGAGTGTAGCTTACACAATAGAGTGAGCTTAAAGAGGAGGCAGTGTATGCCAAAACCACTGGAAACTTGACAAATATTAATGGTAAGTTCAATAAAGATGCGACTCCACGAATCATAAAAGTATCTGACTAAAGTAATATGGCTCCCATTGGTATACGTGATATTATTTTATAACTTGCAGGTTACTAGATAGGGACAGTTACAAATGTTCATTATACAGTCGACTCATAAATGTCTGGGTGCACCAGTACTGGAAAAAGCTGCACACCTGAACAATCGTGCATTATGCATATTAGTAGAAGTACAGTATAAGAATTGGTTCTAACAAGTGTTTTACAGAAGCTTTTCCGAGAAGGATCTACAGTGAATGAAATGCTCCTTACCCCTGTTAGTGCAATATCTCTGAATGCCCACTGCTGAGGATCTCCCTTTACTGCTGATAATAATGCACACACACCAAGGCCAATAGCACATACAGGCTCTGAGGATTAGAAAGACTTATAAGCAACTGAGGAACTGTCTAAAAAAAAAAAGCAATGTCAACTTAAACAACATTAGCAAAAGCAATATAGTAGAGCAAGGGCACTGCAGTGACAGTTCCTTTCTGTTTATATACAATAGAGTACATTTTGTACACTAATTCCCACTAAAGAGCAGAAAGGCAGTCAGAAGTATCTTTGTACACAACTCAATAATACCACCATTTTGCATACTATCTCGCCCTATTTTTTTTGCCATGTTTTTAGTTCCCTTTTCATTACACCAGTTTTATGCAAGCTGTTAGCCTGGTCTCATTCACTCTCTTTACATGGCCGGATCTTTTAAGTGCAGCACTACGTGTCATTTTTTCTACAGCCCATTTTGTGACCTGGAGATGGTCTGAAAAGTTAGTTACCCAGAAAGACACTGCCTTGGATTGCCTTCTGAAACACTAGTGAAACTATTATTAGTATTGTTAGATAATATACATACTGAAAGGACTACAATTATAGTCACTAATAAATCACTAGCAACAGAGGTTACAATAAATATTCTTACCTATCAGTGGCTACGGGAAGGTGAGATCTAGCTCTTTATGCCCCGCCTCCTAGCCTTTTATACCTGATGCACTTATTACCTCTCTCAACATTAAAATATTTCCATCAAATTCTTTCTTAAAGTTGTTGATGGAATTGGAATTGTGGCAAGTCAGGACAAGTGGAATTCGATGCATTCCACGTGTCAACCATCCATACAGGAATGATATATATAGATACAGAGATGTAACATATTTATATCTCTGCAACTCAACTGCGTGTCCAGATTCTACTGATGTTTCCTTGTCCTACTTCTTTTTTATTTAAAAAGGCTTCCTTTATCCACTTTGTCTATTCCCTTCAGGACCTTGTATGTAATGATCATATTCCATGTTTCTTCTCTCCTCTATGGTTGTGAGTGTGACTTCCCTCAACCTGTCATCACAGTTGAGCCCTCTTGGTTCTGGTACTGTGCTAATCTAGTTGCAAACTTCTGAACTTTGACAAGTATCTTTTTGTTCTTCACAAGGTGTAGGTTCCATGCTAGTGCTATGTGCAGTCACTGATGGTGTAGTGATAACACACTCCCAGCACTTCACAAGCAGTTTGGTCTGGGTTCAAGTCCTGACAAGGGAGAATTGTTGGCGCCACTGGATAGCAGGCTGAACATGATTTTGTTCTCTGAAAAACTTAAGATTCTGAGCAACCACCAGATAAGGTCATTGCTGTATGGTGAGGAAGGGCATATCAATACTCCAAAACTCAGAGCATATCTTGTTAGGAAGGGATCATTACTGGTAAACAATGTTGTTGACTATTTGTTGGCTAGCTGACTTTTATTATTTGCACCCTAGTGCTCAAGCAACCCAAACTGTCATACAGCACTGGGTGCCCAGCTCCCTATGATCGCTAATTTTAATTTACCAGATACAGTATTTTTATTTTTGTTAAAGACCATATTACTGACTAGGTCACTTAGAGGCCTGCTCTGCAGAAAGAGGCGATGCCCTGCAGGCAGTGCCACAAGGCCGTTGGTGTACCGAGTCTTACAGGAAAGTTAGACCAAAATGCTCTAATAAGTGTCAGGTATCCTTGAATCTGCCTGGGGAACCATTTTATGACCTCCATTGTGGGAAGGGGGAGTGGGAACATATTTTTTCAGACCCAGGAGTGGCTCAGACAGGTAGGGCAGTAAATTGGTCCTCACTACATGGCGACATCACAGAAAGTCAAAGAGAAAGATGAAATGGAAGCAATTCTCAGACAATGAGGAGGAACAATAATAATGCACTGACATACAGCAGGCACAGAAAACACTGCTATTGAGACAACATCAAGTCCTTCTACCAGAAAGATATCACACATAATGGAACTAGAGAAAACAACACCAGTCATACACTAGCCAGTGTCAGATAATGTTTCTCTGTCCACAACCCAGCCACAAGATGACATTATGAGACAGAAGAGGACAGCACTAGTCACAAACCAGCCTACAGTATCAGAAAATGTACCTCTGTCCACAGCCAAACCACAAAACAACAACATGAGACAGGTGAGGACACCACCAGTCATACTCCTGCCATTGTCAGACACTGCACATTTTCCAAAGCTCAAGATAATGCAGGCAAACTACTTTCCTATAGAAACGACGATGGAAAAGGAGCAACAGGGCTCAAACTTTTCATCACAGTCAACCTGAGAAGAGAAATTATAATGACAACCAAACCAAAAGACTGCAAATTGATTAGAAACAGTAACAGTCCTACAAGGAAAACCTATAAGTTTGGAAAGGAAAAGTTGGACCCTTCAGAAAGATGCACACAATCATACTGTTGAGATCTTTCCCAACTTTCCAACTTTCCACTGGATCCAATACTAGAGCACAAGCAAATCTTGAATGCTGAACAATGCTGCACAAATATAGACAAAGCAGCAACATGTCAGGTTCTGGTGACCATCGTAGGAGTGCGGACCAACCGGGCTGTGGTGGATATTTGGGCCTGCGGGCTGCTCCAAGCAACAGCCTGGTGGACCAAACTCTCACAAGTCAAGTCTGGCCTGGGGCTGGGCTTGGGGAGTAAAAGAACTCCCAGAACCCCATCAACCAGGTATCAGCTATCAAAGGAAAAGTGCCAGAAACATTAAATCTTGGAAATTGGAGAATATACTAACATAGACCATACATCCGGCAACCCCTGGGTTGTTTCAGATGTCAGATATAGGGACACCATCAAACACTCTGCACTGGGCAGGAGAGATGTGGAGTGTGCAGCTTCATGAATCCAATCAAAGAATGTTTGTTTTGATTACCATGGAGATTATAGTCCCAGTGGCGTAGTGGTACGACACTTGCCTGGCATTTCACGAGCGCTTTGTCCTGGATTCGTATCCTGGCCGGGGAGGATTTACTGGGAGTCAATCCTTAACTGTAGCCTCTGTTTACCCAATAGTAAAATGAGTACCTGGTTGTTAAAGGATTTGGCGGGTTGTATTCCGGGAACATAAGATTAAGGACTTGCCCAAAATGCTGTGTGTTTTTCTCTGCATATCAACACTGGGGAACCCACACACATATTCACAGATAAGAAATGGAGGACAGATTAAAACCATATCAGATAGAACAGCCCAACCACAGGCTTGTATTCAACCATTACAGGAGGCTGAGAGACTTGCTGTCTAATTTGCAAAAAAAGCAGTTTCATATCAGCATCCTACAGTGGTCAGAGGGCAGCAAAACCATGAGAATCATGAGAGAGCCAATGATGAGAGAATAGCTAGAAATGACAAGCATGACTGTCCCTTGACCAAACAAAAATAATCAGAGCGAAAAAACCAGAGTTGAATGTAATGAAACGCCATTTTCTGGGTGAGTCCCGGAAGCTTTCCGGAGCTATCCAGGCTGATATGGATATCCCTAACTTTGGCATCAGTCGATGTGGGTGGAGTTCTAGGTCTACTGGGGACCATGGCCAGAACCGGGCCCCCCCTCAGAGAGGCACGAGGAGCAATGGCCACAGAAATGTACATGTGATTTTGGAGCATTCTATATTTGCCATCAACCGGGACAGGCACCCAGAAAGGTAAGTGCCTCAAAACAAACCCCTATTCTGGTGAAACCAATGAAAATAGCCAAACAAGCGGACAGAACTCCCCCAAATGAAAACGAGCAAACGCACATGATGTCACAAAAGCCACGCTACATGTCTGCGCAGCTGCGCAGGTAGTTGATGGCAGTGGCTGTCATCAACTATGACAGCTCGGTCTCGGTGATCGCTTGTCGAACAATCCTCGCTTAATCGAACATTTGTATGTTCCAATGAACATTTAATACCGAATTCAAAATTTGTTCGGATGTTCCGGGAATTCGCTAGAGCAGGTTTTGTTAGTGAAGATGCACTGTACTTGTAGATACTATGTGAGGATAATGTTTTGTGTATGTGCACAAGGAGAAAAGCCTTGATGCAGGCATTCGATGCATTAAAAAACTGCAAAGAAAAATAAACAGGGTTTTAAATTGAAGGAAGCAGTTAAGGTGTGGTACAAGCATAATTAGGGAGTTTTATAGGGTTCATGTGAAGTAGTGAAGGCATACTCATCTTGTTGGTCTTGTAAAGATGGAAAACCAGTTTCTATTTATGAGCTCTAGGACTGGGGATCCTAAACAATGAAAGACAACCCAAAGCCGAGGTACAATCTAGTATGATGCAAAGCATTGAAATGACAAAAGATCAAGGGTGAAGCTGGTGAATATGCAGGACATCCACAGTCAAGTTTCGACAGTACTAGAGAGGATTGTTTATAAAGGAGCATTCACCACAGAATGAATGTGACAAGATTGTAAGGTAAGGTCCTTTAACACCATTTGTATGATGTTTGCATTTGTATGGTGTTGCTGAATTGTTGGTGCAAATGCATCTTTAGTTGCAGAGACAATATGAAGTTTCCTGGTGCTCCTTTCATGTCTTTCTCCATGTTTGTTCTGTATCAATTCCTATGTTTTTGTTTTTTTTTGTTTGAGATATATACAAGAGTTGTTACATTCTTGTACAGCCTCTAGTACGTGTAGTGTTTCGGGCAGGTCCCTGGAACACGATCCCTGCCGCAAAGAATCGTTTTTACAACCAAGTACTGTACTCATTTTACTGTTGAGTTAAACAGAGGCTACAGTTAAGGATTTGCGCCAAGTAAATCCTCCCCGGCCAGGATACGAACCCATGACAAAGCGCTCGCGGAACGCCAGGCGAGTGTCTTACCATTACACCATGGAGACTGGTGAACAAGATACTTTTTTGTTCTAGTTGTTTGCTGATTGGCATCTCATGCCAAATAATGTACTGTTGCCACATATCGCTTGGCTACGGTGAAGCTACTCTTCTCTGTATTTGGTGTCACTACCTCACTGGCACTTGTACACAAATTGTCTTCTGCTTTCCCCTCTTGCCGGTTCATGCATCTCTGGACCTATCTTGGTCTCTCGATAGAATATATGCATTTCTTTTCTCACCTCAATTCACAGTTGCTCCTTCTGTCTGGGATATATTTCATAAGACACACTTTGTTGGCAATCACATCCAGTTATCAGGTTTGGAAACTTCATGCTCTTCTCTAGAGATTTGGGCACTGTTTTTCTAGCCCTAATTGATGGTTTCTTCACTTGCAGCCTTCTCCTTTTCTGGCAAAGAATGAGTCAGTTGACTTAAGAAATGGGTTTTGTGGTGACTGAGGCTTGGTTTGTACAGCCAGGGGTAAATCATTTGTAGTGTTTGGCAGGTAGTAGCAGTTTGTCTCCTTCATTGGATGCTCTGTTTGTTGATCCTGTTTTCCTGGTTCCCTGTTCCAAGGCAAGCTTGTTCCATGTTTGTAGTGTTATTAAAGCTAGCCAGCCTGTAGTCTACCCTTGCGCCCTTGATGTTCGTGGCACTGCTGGCTGTGTTCACTAACATGCTATAAGTTTGGGGGTTTTGGAGGTCTAAATCTTAGCTGATTAGTATTTGGTCACTGTTTCTAGTCCCAGTTGGGAATGTGTTGCCATAGGTCGGATTTTCCAGCCCAGTGTCTTGTTTTCGGATGTGTGGTTGCCACTCTACTCCTCCTTGGTAAGTACCATGTTTTTCATCTTTTGTTATTAGATAGATTCAGGGAGTCACCCACAGGGTCATCCAGAAAACCAGTGTTGAATGTAATGAAATGCCTCTTTCTGGTAAAGCCCCGGTGGTTCCTCGACTCCCTCTTCCCCTACCAGGTTCTTTAGTCTGTGGTCTATCAGCTTCAGACTGATTCATTGATGGACTAGAATCTGGGAGTTCCCAGGGTGTTGTGCTTAGGTGGTTTAGCGCATTAAGAGGTTTAAGGTAAGTTTCGAGTGAATCATTTGTGGAGTCTGTTACCGTTCCCATTTTCAGTGCTGCTTTTTCTGTGAACCTTGCAGTTGTTTGTATTGCTTCCCATAATTTCTGGATGTTTTCTGGTTGATCGTGATCATAACAATCCCCTGCTCCCTATGCCTCTGTGAGGGGATCAGGTTCTGGTTTTAATTATCAGCAGGCCAACAGGACTCCTATGGCCAATGTGACTCAGTAGAAGATGCCATCTCAGTGAGATGGCTTCAGGGAGCCACCAAGCACTCTTCCAGAAAATTAAGTGAATCATCTTATAACCTTTTATGTATGGACCTACTAGCATCTCTATAAATGAAGACATACAAACTAATTGATAGACATACTCGAGACCCAAAATGCATAAATTTAATGACTAATTGACAATAGCTTCTTCAATAATGCCAAAAATAATTTATGTAACTATCACTGTTCTTCAACTGAATTGCTTGCTTACAACAAGAAGCAAAGTACAGACAGACAATAACACTGATACAAACAAGGCTTTGAATGTTCAGTTATGTATATGAAAAGCATCATTCTGAAAAGATTACTCTGCTGCTCCACAAAGTAAGTTCCCCCATGTCTATAGACAGTAATATGCACAGCCAGGCAGGGCCGACATACAGCACAGAACTAGGCGGAATTTTAAATTGCCCTACAGGGTCATACTTGTGCTGGTGTGACTGGATAATACTCAATATTACCCATAATGACAAACTTCAAAGTCCTCTTAGGTTCACTGATCCAAGCAAGGCACACATACTATCTGGTACAAAACTTGAAATACATGTGAAAATGGACAGAAAAAAAGGAAATAGAAGTAACTAATAAATCTGTTTATTACAATGCTTTCATATAATCTAGTCTTATTTATGAGTTAGCATATCTGGTAACTCCCCAAAGTAGCAAACAAGAATAGAAACAAGAACATTTAACTCGCCTTTTCCATAGCATGATACCTAAGGAAGGCTGAGCGGGAGACACCAGCATTTTATGCCTCTACCCGGGGAAAAGCCGGTGGCTTCCTGAAGCTATCTCACTGACATGGCTTCCAACTACTAGGTCACATCTGCTGCAGAGTTCTGTTTAATCTACCAGAGACCAGAACCAGAACTTGGCCACCCTCAGAGGTGCAGAGAGCAGTTGACACTACCACCCCACTGGGAAAGCATCCAGAAAGGCAGCAAACCACTACAGACCACTGCTGGAGTCAGAGAGACCGTAGCCTCTAAACTTCCCCAACAATGTAAACAAATGACTAAATAGAACACACACACACACAACCTACAAATTATGTGAAAAAGCTTTAAAGAATTCTGATAAAAGATCTAGAGGTGGTTCTGGATAGAAAACTCTCACCTGAGGACCATGTCAAGAATATTGTGCAAGGAGCATATGAAACGTTTTCCAACTTCAGAATCACTTTTAAGTACATGGATGATAGAATATTAAAAAAATTATTCACAACCTTTGTGAGACCAGAGTTGGAATATGCAGCAATTGCATGGAGCCCATATCTCAAGAAACACATCTTGAGCACCTTCTTCTTTGTACTGAAGAAGGTGCAAAGACATGCAACCAAATGGTTCCCAAAACTGAAAAAATAAGAGCGATGAGGAAAGATTACATGCATTACGTATATCAAAGCTAGAAGATTGAAGAAATAGATATACTATGATCACTACATACAAAATAGTAATAGGTGTCAACAAAATTGACAAAGAAAATGTTTGAAAACTGCAACTTCAAAAAACCTGAGGACAAGTTCAAACTAAGGAAACAAAGCTGTCGGAAAACATTAGAAAGTTCACATTTGCAGAGCGGTAGTCTGAATCACATCTACATTTGAAACTCCAGGGCTGATGCAATCTAGTAGTTGGGAGGCTGAGGTGGCTTTAGGGAGCCACAAGAGCCTTCTCTTAAGAAAAACTGCATTGTTAGACATTATATACAAACAACATTTCGTTACTTGACAAAGACTCTTAATTATACCTTGTCAGTAAATAGTCTATATTCAAAACTATTTACCTATATTTGCTTGCACTTGCTATATCCAGGTAGTAAATACAGAGATCAAGTTGCTGTCCTGCCTAAATAGTATAATAATTTATATTGTGATATAAATAATGGTGAACACAACAAGGCCACCAAGACACAAGCATAAGGTATGATCCGAAGCCAGCAGCAACTTATGGTTATAACTCATAACTAAAGTCAATGTATTCTCTCAAATGTTTACTGTATATTAGCAACAAAAGATAATTTATTTGCACAATTCTGTATCCATACTTCCCAAACTGTTCTACATAGTTCAACAGCATACAAGCTTAAGCCTCTAAAATTACAAAATGGATTCTACAAATGACTTACTTTTCTCAGTCAAACATTGCATGAGGATGTTCCCCAGTGCTTCACATGATGCTAGGTCTTCACTTGCTCCAGGACTATGGGGTATCACCACACATGAGTACTGACTCCCTGAAAACATTCATAAATAAGCCAATAACACTAAAACATTGTACGGTACAACAAAATATTCTAGCATAAAATTCAGGGACAATGAATAACTGAGAACAATGCACACATTTTCCTGTTGTATATGGCCCATTCTACATTCAGATGGTAGGTAAGTAGAGGGTGGGGTTTGAGGGGGAAGGATGGAAGTGAAGTTCCTATATAAATAAATAAATAAATAAATAAATAAATATATATAAATATGTTTATTCAGGTAAGGTACATACATACAAGTGATGTTACATTAATGGATTGAGATATAGATAGAGCTAGTACATACAATGCCTAAAGCCACTATTACGCAATGCGTTTCGGGCAAGAAAAACATTAATATCTAGAACTTAATACTAATTGAGCATAAAGAATAAAAAGTGTTGAAAACAAATACAAATAAAGATAAAAAATGGGGGAACATGACTGAAAAAGCAGCACAAATACAATAGGTTGACAAACAGTGTTGATTAAAAAAAAAATAATAATAATAAAATAACAGACATGGGTTGACAATAAGGGAGTGAGGTGGGTTACAGGGAATTTATTAGGTAGTGTTTAGTTTTTATCTTGAACTGGTTGAGAGAGGTACAGTCTTTAACATGGTTGGGAAGGTCATTCCACATTCTGGGTCCCTTGATTTGTAGAGCATTTCTAGTTTGATTAAGTCGTACTCTAGGAATATCAAAACTGTATTTATTCCTGGTGTGGTGCTCATGGGTTCTGTTACAACCTTCAATGAAGCTTTTGAGGTCAGGATTGGCATTACAGTTCAGCGTTTTATATATGTATAATACACAAGAGAGAATGTGCAGTGACTTAATATCTAACATTCAGAGATTTGAGTAAGGGTACCGAGTGATGTCTGGGGCCAGAGTTGGATATTGTCCTAATAGCAGCTTTGTGTTGGGTAATAAGAGGACGTAAATGATTTTGGGTAGTAGAACCCCAAGCACAAATACCATAGTTGAGGTATGGATAGATGAGGGAGTAATAGAGAGTAACCAGGGCAGGGCGGGGTACATAATATCTGATCTTAGAAAGAATGCCAACAGTTTTTGAAACTTTTTTTTGATATATTTAGAATGTGACCCTGGAAATTCAGCTTGTGGTCGATGAGAACGCCAAGGAATTTGCCATCCAATTTGTTACAAATTTGGGTATTGTTTATTTTGAGATTTATCTGATTAGAGGATTTATTGCCAAACAGAATATAAAACGTTTTGTCAATGTTAAGGGTGAGTTTGTTGGCAGTTAGCCAAAGATGGACTTTCTCTAGCTCAGTATTCATTCAAATACCTATACCTATAATCCATATACCTATATATAAAAAGTATATGTATGTACTCCACTAGTTGTGCTTGCAGGGGTTGAGCTTTGGTTCCTTGGTCCCACCTCTCAACTGTCAGTCAACTGGTGTAAAGATTCCTTAGCCTACTGGGTTCTATCATATCTACATTTGAAACAGGAAACATTCATACATACATATGTACGTACACGTGTGTGTATGTAATTACCTAAGTGTAGTTACAGGATGAGAGCTACACTCTTGGTGTCCGGTCTTCCCAGTACTCTTTGTCGTATAACACTTTGAAACTACTAAACGGTTTTGGCCTCCCCCACCACCTCACTTAGCTTGTTCCAACCGTCTACCACTCTGTTTGCAAAAGTGAATTTTCTTATATTCCTCCGGCAGCTTTGTTTCGTTAGTTTAAATCTATGACCTCTTGTTCTTGAAGTTCCGGGTCTCAGGAATTCTTCCCTATCGATTTTATCAATTCCTGTAATTATTTTGTACGTAGTGATCATATCGCCTCTTTTTCTTCTATCTTCAAGTTTTTGCATATTTAATGCCTCTAACCTCTCCTCGTAGCTCTTGTCCTTCAGTTCTGGGAGCCACTTAGTGGCATGTCGTTGCACCTTTTCCAGTTTGTTGATGTGCTTCTTAAGATATGGACATATACAACCGCTGCATATTCCAGCTTTGGTCTAATAAAAGTCGTGAACAATTTCTTTAGTATTTCTCCGTCCATGTATTTAAAAGCAATTCTGAAGTTAGAAAGTGTAGCATAGGCTCCTCACACAATGTTCCTAATGTGGTCCTCAGGTGACAGTTTTCTATCTAGAACCACCCTTAGATCCCTTTCTTTGTCAGAATTCTTTAAAGATGTCTCACATAATTTATAGGTTGTGTGGGGTCTATGTTCTCCAATTCCACATTCCATAACATGGCATTTATTCACATTAAATTCCATTTGCCAAGTATTGCTCCATATACTCATTTTGTTCAGGTCTTCATGAAGGGCATGACAATCATCTAGGTTTCTTATCTTCCCTATTATCTTATCATCATCATCAGCAAACATGTTCATATAATTCTGTATTCCAACAGGTAGATCGTTTATGTAGACAATGAACATTACTGGTGCAAGAACTGAACCCTGTGGTACTCCACTCGTGACATTTCTCCAATCCGATAGATTGCCTCTGATTATGGCCCTCATTTTTCTGTCAGGAAATTTTTCATCCATGTTAGAAGCTTACCTGTCACCCCTCCAATATGTTCCAGTTTCCAAAACAATGTGGAACTCTGTCGAAAGCCTTTTTTTAGGTCCAGATAGATGCAGTCAACCCAACCATCTCTTTCCTGTAAAATCTCTGTGGCTCAATCATAGAAACTGAGTAAGTTCGTTACACAGGATCTTCAAGATCGAAAACCATACTGTCTGTCTGATATTATATCTTTTTTCTCCAGGTGTTCTATAAATTTAGTTCTAATTATTTTTCCCAATATTTTGACTATTACACTTATCACAAATACAGTTCTATAATTGAGGGGGTCTTCCCTGCTGTCACTTTTGTAGATTGGAACTATGTTAGCCTTTTTCCACACATCATCTACAACTCCTGTACACAGGGATGCCAGAAAAATCAGTTGAAGTGGAATGCTGAGCTCGGGTGCATATTCTCTCAGAACCCATGGTGAAACTCCATCTGGATCAATTGCTATGTTCTTACTTAGCTCCTTGAGCATTTTTTTCACTTCGTCTCTAGGCACCTCTCTGTTCTCTTGTTTGTGATGTTGCTGGTTTAAGGAATTCCTCCTTGTCAATTTGGTCGATTCCTGTTAAAATTTTGTATGTGGTGATCATATCGCCTCTTTTCTTTTATCTTCTAGTTTTGGCATATTTAACGCCCCCTAACTTCTCCTCGTAGCTCTTGTCCTTCAGTTCTCGGAGCCACTTAGTTGCATGTCTTTGCACCTTTTCCAGTTTGCTGATGTGTTTCTTATGATATGGGCACCATACAACCACTGCAGATTCTAGCTTTGGCCTAACTAAATTCATGAACAATTTCTTTAGTATTTCGCCAATCGTGTATTTAAAAGCAATTCTGAAGTTAGAAAGCGTAGCATAGGCTCCTCGCACAATGTTCTTCATGTGGCCCTCTGGTGATAGTTTTCTATCTAGAACCACCCCTAGATATCTTTCTTTATCAGAAGTCTTTAAAGATTTTTCACATAATTTATAGGTTGTGAGGGATCAATGTTCTCCTATTCCACATTCCATAACATGGCATTTATGCACATTCAATTCCATTTTCCAAGTGGTGCTCCATATAATTATTTTGTTCAGGTCTTCTTGAAGGGCATTACAATCATTTATGTTACTTATCCTTCCTATTATCTTAGCATCATCAGCAAACATGTACATATATTTCTGTATTCCATCTGGAAGATTATTTATGTAGACAATGAACTTCACCAGTGCAAAAACTGAGCCCTGTGGTACCTCCACTTGTGACATTTCTGCAGTTCGATACATTGCTACTGATTACTGCCCTCCTTTTTTCTATTGGTTAGAAAGTTTTTCATCCATGTTAGTAACTTATGTTACCCCTCAATACCCCTCCAATATGTTCCAGTTTCCAGAACAGCCTCTTATGTGGAACTCTGTCGAAAGCCTTTTTTAGGTCCAGATAGATGCAGTCAACCCAACCATCTCTCCTGTAAAATCTCTGTTGCTTGATCATAGAAACTGAATAAATTTGATACACAGGATCTTTCAGATCGAAAATCATACTGTGTGATATTATATCGTTTCTCTCTAGGTGTTCCACCCATTTAGTTTTAATTATTTTTTCCAATATTTTGACTATTACACTTGTCAATGATACAGGTCTATAATTGAGGGGGTCTTCCCTGCTGCCACTTTTGTAGATTGAAACTATGTTAGCTTTTTTCCACACATCTGCAATGACTCCTGTACACAGGGATGCCTGAAAAGTCAGGTGAAGTGGAATGCTGAGCTCAGGTGCACATTCTCTCAGAACCCATGGTGAAACTCCATCTGGACCAACTGCTTTGTTCTTACTGCCCCCTCCCCGCTCAGCTCGTTGTCGCCGTGTGGGGGCTTGGTGGGCGGCTGCCGGAGTGTGATGCTCCTTGGGACAGTCCTGTCCTTTTCTAGCCTTGTGCTCCTGCTGCCGTCCTCTCCAATTCTGCTGGGCATCTTTTCCTTTCCTTTTCCTTCTGTTTCGTTTTTCTCCCCCCTCTTCTCCTATCTGCTTGCCGTTTCCTGCCGACCTTTTGCTCGTTCTGGTTCTTCCCTTGGACTTCTTCTATTTTGACGCCCGGGTGCTTGAGGAGGCATACTCTTGCACCCGTAGAACTGCAGTACCCGACGTCGAGAGCGAGGGGAACCTTTTATTGTCAATCCCCACTTCGTCACTGAACCCGATCTCGACGGACTGTCGGTTTCTTAAGGTGGCGTTTGTGGGGCGTATACTCACGACGCACCCCTAGGAGGCCCCGACAAGATCGGCGATAGCTTCTTGTTGGGTGTCCTGCCTCTAATTGTGGCTCCATGGTGGGTGTGGGGGCACATTCGTGAGTGAATTCTTCTTTCGTCAAGATGATTACCCCTGCTTCGGCTTCTTCTGGTTTACCTTCTCAGGCTCGTGGGGTGGGCGAC